CCCCCCCGCCGCCCCGGGGGGGGGCCCCCGTCCGTACCCGTCATGCACGCTTGTAAGGTGAAAAGCAGTCCTGTGCAAGACTCGTTTGTTCTGCATGCTACTATCTACGTTTCGGACGCTATTTATGCACCAGAACTACCATTCCCATCTCTCACCAAGGGGAGAGAAGGCGGCTCTCAGGACAGAGCACGCTTGAGCAAGCATCTCCGCAGCTTCCAGCTCCAAGGGGCACAATCAAATCATGGGTTTTGAAGCAAAGAGATCCTACTGCTACTGAAACAGACACACGGAGACAAATCAAACATTTGTCCATGAGGCTATTAATTAAAAAAAAAAACCCACAAAACTCAAAAACCAAAACCAAGAGAGATCAAACAACCAAAAGGCCTGTAAATATGGACAGTGTTTAGAAAGCAGAGGTGCAAGGACTGTGGTGCCCTGTGGCAGGGCTCAGTGGGGAATTTGGAAATGACTTCAAAGCCAGGGCTACTACTGCTGAAGCTACCAGACCTCTCGTTAGCAACGCCACCGTCCCACAGAATCACCCAGCAAACAGAGCTGTTTCACACTCAACGAGGGCCATAAGCCTGACAACAAATTTCTGAACAACTACTGCACATTAAAGATAGTTAGACTGGCCTCTGAACTCACATCTACCCCACCAAGACACCAGGCAGGTTAGAAATGGCCAAGAAGTCATCACTGCCTACCATAGCCTATTGCTTTAGAAAACGAGCCCACGTAGGCAGCAGTTTGTGCTCTTGTTGCAGCTCACCTGAAGTTTTCACAAAGTTTCCTGGAAGAAAGCTTGCAGGCTCTGACAACAATAGATTGATTTCCAAGGCCTCCCACAAGCTTTTTAAACTGGACACCTCAGCTGCTGAGTAGCTGCTGATGGGGCATTTCCAGGACACCTTACCCAATCTGTAGACAAAAAACGTGGGATTTAAATGTGCAACATAGACAGCTAATTCTGAACATTCAGTATGCGTCCATCAGACAACTGCAAAAATGTGGAAAATAAGAGCATCTCTTGGGAGCGGGGAAGGTGAGAGGATCAGCATCTGCAGCAATAAAGACAAGCTCTAGAAAAATAAGTTATTTAGTGGTTTTTATAAGAACAGTCAGTCATTCTGGGACTCAGCAGAAGTGCTGCACGTTTGTGTGTACACGTGCAAGATTTGCTCACCTCAGAGCGTTTACCTTCCTATCAGTCTGACACTGCCAATGGCATGTCCAGCAGACTGGAACTCAGAACAGCGTGACAAGACAGAAGGCCAATACAGTACAACTGCAGAAGTTCAAGTAGAAGAATGAAGTTGTCTTCAGAAGCTTACAGCAGCAACAGCAGTATTCAAGACCAGTGGAAACAAGGAATGTTTCTGTAACGTAGGCTTTTTTTTTTTCTTTTTTCTCCAAACCAAAGCGCTGGGTTACAATCAAGGCTCTTGGGCGGAGGGGATACTTCCTCAATCACACTTCCTTGATTTCTCTCTGCACCATTTTTTCTCAGTGTGGCAACACTGGTGCTGCTGATCTGTCTGCCCTGCTGCTATCAGGCAAAACGGTGTGTCCCTTTGGGGGGAAACAAACACCAGTAACTCCTCAAGTTGAGGAGTGGCTAAGAAAAACATAACACTGTGGTGAGGTGGAACCAACTTTATTAAGGACAGTGAATTATAATTGCTTTCAAAGGCTTTAAAAAAAAATTACTCTGAGTCATGGCTGGCCTTTAACAGCAGATACCAAGGGATACGGAGGCTGCCTGATTCAGAGCCAGTCAGTGGGAGTTAACCAGAAGAGGATGAGGTAATGCTCAAAGACAGGAGGACAACAGGACTGTCTGCGGCATCTGTGGAGTGCTGGTGTGCCTACCACCAGCCTTCGGAGGGAAAAAGACACGGCCAACTAAAGCACAGAAAGGCAAAATGTGCAAGGGTACATATACTCACATGTTTAAGAGTCACAGGACCAGAAGGGACCTTAATAGGTCATCAGACCAGCCCTCTATCCATCCCCCAGAACAGGGTAGCTTTGAAAGCAATGTATCCGTCTCTTCTACTCCATATACTTCATTTTAGGAAACTCATCTCAATGATGTGAAGCTCTTACAAAGAGGTGCTACACATTCTTTGCCATTGTCTGACCAAAGCAGGAGCTGAGAGCTCACAGCTTTCAGGACTGGTTCGGCAGATACTGAGAAGGGTCATACAACAAGCTAAATTCATACAAAGTGCAATAAAACTCCCCAAGCCATGGTCAGGTTTGCAAGTTCACTATTAGTGAAGAAGAACGAATCACAAACTCTAAGCTGGATGGAGTCTGATCTAATTCTTCCACTATTTGTGCTTTTTTTCCAAATTCTACTCTCTTTTGTCGAACCCAAAAGTCTGTCTTGGCTGATTCCAATACACATTTCTATTTTAAAACTTTTATTCCATTGCTTCAAGAAAGCTTTTTGTTGCATTTAGAGCAACAAAGGGAGACATCTCCATAGCAAGGATTTGTTCATTGGAGGTAAGCATTTACTCTGGCAAAAGCTGTTCTCTCCAACTTCCAAGGGAATGGGATATGATCTTTCCATAATCACATGCATTTACCAATAAATAAGTTCGGATTAGACTGTATTAAAACATATGCACAGATTTAAAGCACTGGAGTGTCACAGATTCTTACCCCACAGCTCATGCAAGTAGAAAGAATTAAAGGAAAAAAAAGAAAGACCAAAGCCTCAGCTAGGAACAGACCAAGGAATTATCTTAAAAGAAGTTTTGCACAAGTATATCAAAGCATTAATATTAGTGAGGTCCCTAAATACATTAGGTTACACTAAATTCCAGAGAAACAAAAAATTTAGCCGTATCAGATACATACGTTTTGATTTTTCTTAAGTTAATATATAATTCATTCTTTGAATAATATTATTCACTTGGACCCAACATCCACACTGCTTTCATACATTTATACAGTTATATCCCATTCTTGCTTTAAGAGACTGATGTCCTAAGTTATGGCAGCAACCAAAGGCTCTACAGCCTTTGTTTGTCAAATACAAAACTCCTTTCCCTTCACACAAGGGTGGAGAAAGGAAGAAAGATGTTGATAAATTAGGAAGTTCTCCCCGTGAGCTTGCTGATTCCAACCTCGAAGTACTACAGAAAGATGGCTGGAAGCTCGTGTTAAAAAAAATTTCCCTTGTTTTAAAAACAATTTCTTTTACTGTACAATAGATGCATAGAAAGTTGCTTCCTGCTTGATGGGTTTAGGCCTTTAGCTATGTTTAGCTGTGAAAACAAGATTGTTCCTTTACAGAGTGGTGAGGAGAGAGACCATCTCAGGAATATTTGGCAGCTATTGGAGAGCTCATGACATGAAGAATGAACAGCATATCCACAGATTACAACGATGCAACTCTGTCCCACTGAATACACCAATTTAAAAAAGTGTCCACTTGTTACTCAGGATCAAGAATACAGTAGAGATTCACAGCTCAACAGCTTTCAAACTGGTGGTTTAAAACAAAAAAAAAAAAGTCAGTGAGCAGCAGATTTTAAATAGCCCACTCTTCTCTCCCCCACCCCAAAGAAACATGAGTTCACTGCAAATCAGGAACTTAGACTTGAGACTACTTGGGAGAGAAGGCTTCCCTGTCACCCATGTCCATACAGCTTGGTGTCGGAGCGACACACTGGAGGTTTCAGAGGGTTTCAGTTGTCCAGTGTCTTGTTGTGGTTACTTCAGCAGTTTTACCAGCTGGCTCTGACAGCCTCAATGTCACTAACCAAATTCTGGGCTAAGCATATCCCAAATATCTGGAAGAGACAACAGTTTATTCATTTAGAGCATCAGACAACTCTTTTCACACAGGCAAACTCCTTAGGTTACACAGAACTTTGATATGAAAACAAGCAACAGAAAGTTAGAAATCAAACTAACAGGATTAATGTTAAAGTGTAGGAAGAAGGATGAATATCAAAAAACTCTTGTAACCTCAGTATTTTTACAGTGCCACTGGATTCCAGGAAATTGAACAGTTCTAGACTTGCTTCATAAAAGCAACTGGAAATGCTTTTCACTGCTCATTTAAGCATCATCAGAAGCACTAGGTCTGTACAGGCTTAAAAATCTGTACCTAATCTTTAACATAGAGTGTTAGTTTTGACCTGCAGACAGTTGAAAAAAAATACATGCCTACAGATAAAAATTAAACACTGCTTAACACAAAGAAAGCCTCATGCATTTATCTCCCCTCACTTAAAATGTTACATTTTTAAGTGCAACTAACACTGTATTTCCAGTTCTCAGATATAGTTCCCCCCTCATATACTCTATTTATCTGTTGTTGTTCTGTGTAACTGATTAAAAGGAACATGATGTTTACCTGCAGTAATGCTATCCCAATGAATATACCAGCAACTATTGTAAGATTGTCCTGCAACCACTTCTCAAACTGAGGGACACAGCCTTTGGTGTAGATAACAATCTGCTGATCAACTTCCTGCCAAGAAGAAGAGGGAAGAAAACAGAGATAATTACATTCAACTATCTCATCAGGAGAATAACCTGTTCTTGCCAGATGGATTCAGATCCTTAAGATATCACGTTTAGAAAAAAAAAAAATGCTTACTGGTTTTTGCCTTGCATCATAGCCACATTGAGTATTAATAACATCTTCCTAGGAGAAAGAGAGAGACAGAAGACACAATCAGTGAGGTGTCTCCCTAACACCTTCTCCCAGCTCCCCAGTATTAGTCCTGTATGTAGTAAGACCATCACTCTAACTTTGGTTACCATACTGCTTTTTAAAAACCCCTTCCTCTTCCATTGAGTGCTATTAATTATTTGCAACAAACAAAAGCAAGCCGTCAAAAAATACTTTCAGCTCTCAGGGCAGCAAGCTGGGAAGACTAGCCCTCCACCGAGGTGAACTCCATGTTCCAGACATAAGCATTCAGAAGTCAAAGTAAAGGGATTAGGGATCATCTACTTTAAGTGAAAGAACCTTCTGCTGAAAAGGTTTTGTCTATACTGAAAAATATGCCAAGACTACTGTTAACATTTTTAGGGTTCAGTCTGTGCAGCGTGGAGAGGTAAGATGATGCAGTTCTGTTACAGAAGCTGCAAGTTCTTACTGAGGATGTCTGCAGAAATATAGACAGTACCGAGTTCCACTACAAAAACTAGGGAGCAAAAAGAAGAGATGGGGTAAGGTGTTCCTACTGCCTGTTCTTTTTTACAGGAGCTCAACAGCAATGGGCAAGGAGGTCTTGGTTTTTCTCCTATTGCCTCTGATTTAGCACTCTCAAAGTACAGGTAATGAAATAAGTTAAGGCAGACTTTTCCTAGCGAACAAGTGCTACCCAGTGGAAGCTGCATTTACTCTGTACACAGAGTTATATCAGGGCAATAAAATGAAGTGACTACTTTTAGTGTCAGCCACAATGGCAGCAAAATATTACCTTATTGGCTCATATAATAACAGAGAGCAGAAGGGACTACTCAAGAAAGTGAGAAAATCAGCCAATCTTAGCTAGTGTACTGAACACCACAATTTAATCAAATTGTGGGAAGTAAGAAAGGCAGCCAGCAGAGAAATACATCTTATATACACGCCATATGGAAAAAGATATCTCCTCCTGTCAGCAGTTAAAGCTCCTCTAAGTGTTTCCTCACTTTGCAGGAAGTACATCAACAGGTCACATCCCATCAGTTACCCAAGCTGGATTCCCTCAATGGACCTTTACCATCTGAACAATTTGTATCTTTTAATGAGATGAATGCTTCTCTTCCAGGGTTTAAAAATATAACAGTGCCATGCACTTCAAGGCTGTAAAAGTACATAAGATTCCAGCAGAGGGATTTTAAGCTTTCTTCTTTGTACTGAATGCCCACTTGCTTTATCATTAGTCTTCTGACTTTAGCCTTGGAACGTGTTAACCGAAAGAAAGCATAGAGAATGAAATGGAAATAAATCAACTTTTCTAGGCCTTGCCTGTACAGGAATTCAGAATGTTTCGACCTGCTAAACTACAGCAAAGTGAACTATAGAAGTCCAAATTCATTTTAAAGGAAACTTATTTTGGCCTACCTTAAACTTACCACTTCCTGATTTAAGCTAAACTAAAAGCTAAACTGAAACTAAGTCCTGTCCAATAAAGCCTCCATATAGCTTTTTGCATCAGTCCAACACTGCATCCTAATTCCAAAAACGGACAAGTTTGCCTTCCCACAGAATATACTTGTTTATCACTGCAATTAACCTGTCACAGCTGGGTTACAATTATATCCATTATAGGCGCGACTTTATTTTTAGAAATATTACTAATTTTTAGTCTTTATTTCAAAGGCAATTAAGCATGTTGCTTCCCTACAATGAATAAGAAATACTTATCTTTCAATTTCTGGTTGCTACATCACCCCCTAAGAAACCGCATAACCATACAGACACAAAGAGATAACTTTAGCATGGATTATGTATTTATAGAATTACCTGGTACTGCTGTCACTGGTTTGGTTTTATAACAACTATATTTTCAAAACTGGGTTGTGATGACCTCTCTGTGTGGGTGGCCAGACAGGCAAACAGTAGGGGGAATCCTAAGCATAATGTAATGCTTGAGCCTAACCTACTTTCCACTTTGTTTTAATATTTCATTAAAACATGCTTGTGAGAAAGATTCAAACTACTGCAAAGACATGTTCACTGCAGAGGAACCAGAAGGCAGCTTGTGCAAGTGGCAGTGCCTTATCAAGACAGAGCAGGAGAGCAGCAATAGCGACTGGATGCTGGGAGCAGTGACTGCTTTGCATTAGCAAGGCAGGAAGCACCTGAGTGTTGACAACTTGCCTAACTTTAGTCAATGCTACAGACTCATACATTCAAGGAACTCTTAAGTCACTCCAGGTGGAGAAAGAGCCACACCTGAACTACTAGGTAACACAAGCACTCACAGGCTGCTTCTTTTAAGCTATATGAAAGTCAAATGTATGCAGTGTTAGCCACATAACAGTTTCCCTGCACACACTCACCCCCATTCCAAG